AAAATTAGTTTGTGAAAGAAAACATGAAGTTAGCTGGCGTGTGAGTGATTAGCCATAACGGGCGATATTTTAAAGTGAGTTTCACACCTTAACAAAGATAAGGAGAATAATTTGTCTTGTCAAAGTGTGTTCTAACGTAATTGAACCCTTCTGCCTGGACTTTGACAAAAGCGAGACAATTATATAAAGTTCAGGATACAACCATGGTAACCCACGGGGTAACGTAAGTGAATTATTCACTGATATTATTGTGATAATAGCAGAGAAAAAAAATCCCCTTGTCAACAGGGTTCTAAAGTAATTGAATTAGCCTGTGTGGATTTTCGACAAGAAAAGAGAATTATTTAGAGTTTGAGATACAATTGTGATATCTGTAGTGTAAATAATCTTTGTACATAGTTTGACTTGTTTTGGATATAATATTTTAAAACAAGAGGATTGTGTGCTGTCTGTTTATTGTTCAAATTTATCGCCAACAAGTCACAGACACCTACTGTAGAAGCATCCTCAGCCCACTCATATTTTAAACCCTGACAACTAATGACAAAAGATTTAAAAATGACATGTTTTACGTGACGATACACACAAGAATTACATTATTCATTCTAATATGATAATCAGGTATCAAATATATATAAAACACCTTTCTAAACAAGCCGAACATACATATTCTCATTCATATAAACATTTAATTTTGTGTGAGTGTTGAAATTAGAGGACAACCATGATTATCCTTTACCTTTTCAACGTTTGGTAAACAACAGATATTGAGTTACTATAACACAAGTTTGAAGTGTAAGGCCATTTTTCTGGTTATTAAGGTCAAAGTTCAATGGTACAAAATCTTTTCGTTAGCTAGTTAGCTATAATTTAATTCTTAATGTCTAGTGAACATAAAATCTTTTTATTTGAAAGCATGTTTTGTATTGTTAAATACAATACATTAATACGACACTTGTGGAATACATCTATACTTATCGTTTATAAACTAAATTAAACTCTCGCTTACATACTAAACTGAGATCTTTTGTAGTACAAGTCGCTTGGAATTATTGTTATGCAGAAAGAGCGTAATGTAAACCTGACTGTTTTCTCATGTAAAGAACCCATTGTGATATATATGACTCCCCTAGCATCAATTGAAGATAGTTTCAGCATACCGACAGTTAAATAAAGCGTTTACACTTTATAGATGTGTACTTAAATCGAAATGACCATAGAAATTGTGATGTGCTACAAGATGCTCTAACAAAACATAAAAAGGTAATTGTTGCTATATATATCATTTCGTTTAAATAATAGAAAATCTGAGAAAATTACATATGTAAATGGATTTCATGAACGGAAAATCGTTTATTTCGAAAATTTTAATGTTACTGTATTTTGTTGTAGCAATATGATTTCCTGTAAAGTTTTAATAATTAGAAGACAAAAACAGACACAAGAACGATAACAGAGTTGTATTAGTCATGATAAATTAAATACCGCCTTACTATTTTTTTCATTTTGACATGAAAATATCTAGTTTGAATGCTTACGCTAACAAAAACACACACAAAAAACAGTCCTTTTCAGGACTATTTATTTGTAAGATAAACTAGTGTATGTATAATCATATAAATAAACCATAAAGTCAAACTATACTGCATGACAGTTATTTGATATGATACATACAACATTTATGTAGAGTTTGTACATTTTAATTATAAAATGATGCGGAACGGTCAGTTTCTGGACTATGTAGATTGTAAGTTATATTAATGTATGCATCTGAGAATGTTGCATAAGATAAATATATCGAGTTTGAATGTTTTTATGTTAATAGGGAAAATGTGTCTTTTTCATGGCCATATTGTAATTAAACTAAGATATATGTAAACCTTGAAGTACGCCATATATATTATAACAAAACCTGGAGTAACTTATCCAGAGTTCCTAAAATATGTTATGGGCTTTAAACTGTGTGTCAAGTACCAAAGATGTCGCTTCATTGAACTTTAGAAAGCCGTTTCACAAAGCTTGATATTAGTTTTACTATAGTTAGTTGGAACAAAATGATTTTCTACAGAGTTAAATAACTATAAGTTAATGTAGTGTATGAATATGATACGTAGCATGAATATCTTGAGTTTAATGTTTTAGGTTAAATACGAAAAATAGTCCTTTATAGGACTACGCAGATTGTAAGTCAAAGTAGTATATGTATAATCATATGAGTAAAGCATGAAGTATCTTATACAAATAGTCAAACTATACGAAAACACAATGAAACAGAATAATAATTTTTAGTTTATTCAAACACTTTGTTTGTTATTAAACTCAATATAACTGTACATTTTTAATTTGGACGTATAACCTTAATGTTTTTTATATGATATATAATCGATTTTGAATGTTTTATGTTTATATGGTAAACAGTCCTATAAATAGATTGTACATTCAACTAATTTATCTATAAGCAAAAAGAACGCGATCAAATAGTTAAACTGTAATAAATGATAACATTATTACAAACATACTTTCTGTTCTTCCATTTGACACATTCTACTGCATTTAGTTTATATTAATTAATGAAAACAGCTAAATTTTAAGCATGTTACGTATACAGTGATACACTAGGTAAAGAACGAAAGAGAATGGAATATTATTTTTTCATAATGTGATGCATATATATATATATACAGTTCGAATGCTTTATTTTAATAAGGAAAACAGGCCTCTATGTACATTGTAAGTTAGATAAACCACCAAAAAAATCTTCATAAAAGAAACTATGTATTAATCAATACCAATTTTCACTGAGCAACTCCAAGTCTTTTGGAATTGTAAGTATATGGGTATAAGTATTTTACATACGATATAAGTATATGGGTATAAGTATTTTACATACGGTATAAGTATATGGGTATAAGTATTTTACATACGATATAAGTATATGGGTATAAGTATATTACATACGATATAAGTATCTGGGTATAAGTATTTTACATACGATATAAGTATATGGGTATAAGTATTTTACATACGGTATAAGTATATGGGTATACGTATTGTACATACGATATAAGTATATGGGTATAAGTATTTTACATACGATATAAGTATATGGGTATAAGTATTATTACATACGATATAAGTATATGGGTATAAGTATATTACATACGATATAAGTATCTGGGTATAAGTATTTTACATACGATATTAGTATATGGGTATAAGTATTTTACATACGATATAAGTATATGGGTATAAGTATTTTACCTACGATATATATATATATATCTAGAGTTTGAATGTTTTATGTTAATCAGGAAAACGAGTCTGTGAATATTCGTGAAGTACCCTATACAACTATTCAAACTGTAAAAATATATAATATCAATTTTATTGAGATAAAACTGTAAAACTGACCCTAACGATAATGGAAACAGTGGCACAGCGGTAAATCAGTAGGGTTATAACGCTGATAACTCATGATAGGCAGAGCACAAATAGCCCATTGTATAGCTTTATGTTTAACAACAAAATATTGCGATTTTTTTTCTGTAATATAGTGAACTTTACGAAATTGAAAAAAATTCCAGATTCTTATACAGACTGTTATTTCTAAGTTAATTATAAATAACATTGTACCTGAATTGGGATTCGAACTGCAGCTGACAGAGCAAGTTACCAACCAAATATTTTTTGTCTTTTTAGTTAAAAGCCACTGGAGGTCTCATAAGCAATTACAGCAAACAAAATACACAGAATAGCTACAAAGAACATGTAACAAGATTACCCTTTAGCACATGGACAAATCAACTTACGTGTTACAAGATAACCACCAGGACAGGGACGAATCAACTTAGATGTAACAAGATAACCCTTAGAACAAGGAAGAATTAATGTACATGTAACAAGATTAATGAAAACCAAAATGAAATACTGTCACAAACCACAGATCAAGTCCACTACACTACCCTCCCACTTCAGATTTTTCGCCTGCTCCTAGACACCATACATGTGCTGAATTTGTCAAACCCCAGTTTCATGCTGGTTATACTTGGTTTACTATATGATTTGTTTCTTTAACAAGCAGAAGAAGAACAATCATTTTATTGCTTTCTGACAGAATATTTCTGTTATTCTAAAAAGATATATTAAGCTGTTTTAATGCAATATGAAAGTGTTTACTGTTCAGATAAATAATGATAAATGCATTTCAGTATTTGGGACAGCTGTGACAGTATCGCAGATCTGGCCAAAAGTTTGGTTCTGTATATAGAGTCACGGCAATATTACGCTGTTTTCTAACTGTTTACAGTATTTTCCTGGCTTCTAAGTGGCTCTTGTCTCTACCATATAAACTGTTTACAATGATGATACAAAAATTGGCCTGCAGTTTCTGTTACCAACACATTATAACGTTCTCACAGCTAAAAGGGTGAGCGTTTTCGATGACGGTATTCGAACCTGCGCCCCGTAGATTACATATCGAGTGCCCTTAACCACAAGGTCACGTAAGGCACTAATGAAGGAGTTAAACTGTTATTGGAACATTGACCCAACTTAATTTGTGAATTTGTTGAAAGCGTAATCCAGTGAATGTTATAGGACCAGGCGGATTACAAGTTGTCTTGGGTCGGAAGTTATCTAGTGGTTAGCGTGCCCGGACTGTGAATCTGATGACTCTATGTTTATGTCCCGTTGCTGCAATAATACTAATGCGATTCACACTTTGTGGCTGTGTGTTACGACAGTGACAATCAACTCCTACTATTCGTTCCGACAAGAGTAGCCCTAGAGATAACGGATAGCGCTTTTGATTAACTACCTTCCTCATAGTCAAGGAGAGCTATCCTCACATAACCCTTGTGTGTATATGCGCAAAATTTCTAAAAACAGGCAAAACAAACTATTCGTATAGTTTTGGCTTACATTTCTAAAAACAATTCATTTTAAAACTAAAATATGAAACACACTAAATATGAATATCAACTCTTTTTTTTTTCTTTTAGGAATGACAGGTGATATTTTCATCAATTCAAATGGGGACCGTGAATCAGACTACACTTTATATGATATGGATCAAGCCACTGGAGTGATGGAGGTAAGTAAATTCAGAAAGTTTATGAGAAAGTAAAATATTTAAGCACTATATATCGATACTAAGGTAGTTAAGACTGACACGAGTAGGATAATTCATTTTCTTATATTGACATTTTAGCATACACTAAAATCAGGTTTCTAATCGAACCGTGATTTTCTCCCTTTCAGTGTTCAGATATTGTCGCTAGAAGCTGAGTATACTCAAGAACACGAGGCCTGTTTCATTCTCTTCTTCACCGTTATTGAAATAAAATATTTAGCTTCTACGAGACATTAAGAAATAAACCTGTCTGTCGATGTTTTTATTTACTTGTTTTGGTCATATGCATAAAACATATGCTAATGTCAGATAAATTCTAATGCATTTACTTCAGTAATGTCTTTATCTTACAGCCAGTTGGGACATATGTGGGATCCAAACAACAGTTTCGTCTTTTTGATGGTGTATCTGTTCAATGGCCTGGAAATCGCAAAACACCCCCTCCAGATGTCCCTTACTGTGGCTTTGATGGAAAAGCTAAACATTGCGAAAAAAATGAAGGTATTTTTGATATTCACATTTTTTCTTTATGGCCATTGTTACATAATCTCGTATTTTGTCACCAGTTTCAATGTCTTATGATCCCCTCTTTATAAAAACATTTCCCTCAACAGAGCAAAGAAATCTACAGTATTGGGAAAAAATTAACGTTAATCAAAGTGTGTGTTGTGATCTGATATCTGTTATGTTTGATAAGGAGCAGACAAAGTGTGTGTTGTGATCTTATATCTGTTATGTTTGATAAGGAGCAGACAAAGTGTGTGTTGTGATCTTATATCTGTTATGTTTGATAAGGAGCAGACAAAGTATAGAGAGTTTTAAACTTAGTGCTCGAGTGCAAATGTTGAGATAACTGCTGTAAAGGCTCGGCATGGCCAGGTGGATAAGGCGCTCGACTCGCAATCTGAGGGTCGCGGGTTCGAATCCCCGTCCCACCAAACATGCTCGCCCTTTCAGCCGTGGGGGCGTTATAATGTGACGGCCAATTCCACTATTCGTTGGTAAAAGAGTAGCCCAAGAGTTGGCGGTGGGTGGTGATGACTAGTTGCCTCCCCTCTAGTCTTACACTGCTAAATTAGGGACAGCTAGCGCAGATAGCCCTCGTGTAGCTTTGTGCGAAGCTATATGAGGGTTAGCCATCCCTAATTTAGAATGACAGGTTAGAATGAAGTTCATATACATGAACAGAAGTAAGAAAGTTGATCTCGATAAGGAAGATATATAAAACTTGAAAGATCAGCCAACAGATTAATGCTGATTTGTAATGTAAATATTAGAAGTGAGAAAATATTTCATCAGTAGAGGTGGTATGTGCAATAATAGCTTTCTCTTTCTCAGGATCTGTTTGGTCCTGAAAAGGACATTTAAATTTCAATGATTTAAACAAAATCATTTTCTTCAGAAAAAGAATAACCCCCGTCTTTACAATTTTTCAGGATAAATCCTCACTTGAAATACATTATGTCTATTCTCTATAACTCTAAGGGCCCAGTGTAATAATAATTGGGTAATATCTAAATGCTCAATTAAATGACTGTGTAAATAAAAACACATCTACACAGTCAGAGTTTATGTAGGAGATATCAATCTTCTTAAATCATAATAGCTTTAGTTGTAGATCATGTGACGGAACAAAACAAATCTCGTGAAAATCTTTTTTTTTAAATCATCACAATGATATGGAATACAATTACTTAATCTTATGCATTTAACCTTTCTACAGAGGAATTCAGATAGCTCTTGAATAAATTCACCATTTTCAACAAAAACCAATGGGATTTAATATTTTAAAAGCATGTATGTTTACTTTACAAAACTCTATCTTGAAACACATCTAATATAATGTTTTTCTCTAATTGAGTCAGAGCAGTCCTCAGATATAACCAGATATCTTCAGAGCAGCTTGACCGTGATTGTCAAGTTCTAAGTTTTGTATGATATATGTTTAGTAGAAACTTCGATTGACTATTTTTAACATTATCATTAATGCAATTAAAGGTAGTTTTTGACTCATGTTGTTTTAATTGATTTAAATATGAATCAATAAAAGAAACCTGTTCACATAACTGATACCATTCATACTTTTTTAAAGTTATAAGACTTGATATATAATTACGAAAATTATATTGGCTTGTAAACACAATAGACACATTTTTTAACTCGTCGCATTCAACACTAATAATGCATTTATGATGTTCCAGACCAAAATCCTCACTGAATTTCAGATGTTAGCCCTAGTCACTGATGGTATCAGTCTTTTAAATTCTTGCCATTCAACATATGTAAACGTTACATTTTTTGGGGTAAGGTATAACGTGCCATTTACATAGTCTGTATATTGATGAAGGCGTATCTTCATTTCATCATTAAGTATAACAATTGCAATATACTGGTCATTTCACAGCCGATACTTATGAGAATATTCTGATGGTTCACATCTCCTGAAAAGATACAATGAATCATATTGTTGCACCACGTATTAATGGAATTAATAATAAAATTGAAACATATTAATCACAATCAATATAGCTATTTGTTATCAATAAGACTGGAATATGTATAAAACAAGAGGAATAAGAGTGAAGAGAACAGAATATTTTTCAGCAAATATTAATTTTACCTTTGTGTTTGTCATAATATAGAAGATATACGAAGTTAACTCTCTTTTGGAGTGGTTGTAGACAGAATGAACGTTAGCTCCTTTCGGGTGTTTTTATACATCTCAAACAGGAAGTTGACAACGTCATATCCTGGTTTTACTCTATAGTTATTTTACATTAGTGTCATTACATACACAACTGTTGCTTCTTTAAACTATAACTATGCTTTATGACCAAGTTCTTTTAAACTATAATTATCATCAAATGTTGTCAATAATTGGCATCATATGAGAATACGTCGTCACCTACTATAATTGGATATGAATGATTTATGCAAAACTCAAACCATGCTTGACATCACTTCAGTACGTAAATATGTCAATACATCACATCATCATATCAATACTTAGTATCACATAATGAGAATCTGTCATTACAATTCATAATTAGATATGACCGATTCCTGTGAGCCTATAATTATTGCTAATAACTGGCGTTTTAAACTATAATTATCTTCAGTTATTGTTAATACTTGGCTTCACGTCATGAGAATCTGTCATTACACACTATAATTAGATATGATTGATTTATGTGAGCATATAAATATTGTCAATAATTGGCATCACTTCCAGTAATTATCTTTCGTTACGTACTATGAAAGTTGCTCCCCTGTGGCACAGTGGCGTGTCTGTGGACTTACAATGCTAGAAAGCGGGTTTCGATACCCGTGGTGGGTAGAGCACAGATAGTCCATTATGTAGCTTTATGCTTAACTTCAAACAAACAAATAAATAAACTATGCAAGTTAAAATTAATATTTAATTAATGCTTTATTGGTTAAAGGTTGATTAGTTAATTGGATGATTCACATGTAAATGATATGGAAATTTAACCAATTAATATGTATGTCTAATTCAATGGGTTCCGGGTTCAAGCCCCCCAATGGAACAGCGGTATGTCTGCGGACTTACAATGCTAGAAACTGGGTTTCGATACCCGTGGTGAGCAGAGCACAGATAGCCCTTGTATAGCTTTGTCCATAATTAAAAACAAACAAACAAACAATCCGGGTTCAATAACTCTTATGCCCTCGGGCGGAAGCACTGTTTACTTCCGCCACCAGGATCCCATTCTAACTACTGAAGTTTATCTCAGGATTCAATAATGTTAGCTTAGTACTACTCCTGAAAGCTACTATCATTCAAAGGTGCTGCCTTAATTTCTCTTTCTTCTTGTGTCTTGTTATTGTGGATGAAGAAGCTACATAAACAGGTAAGCTGTTAATTTTGGGATCGTGTTTCGTTCTAGTTTTCATCTCACAAATACACATATTTGTTTTGAAACACAACGTGTAAGATACTTTGATTTAGCTTTAATACAACAAAATATCGTATTTGTAATTTCGATATAGCGATAGCATCAATACTAGAAATGATAAATAGGGTCAGAAGAATTCTTGTAGGGGCCTAACAGACCTGTCATCTTCTCTGGTGCAGGGTCGGTATATAATTGTTGTATTTGTTTATTAAAATTTCAACAGCATAACAGAAAAACAAAATATGTTGAATACATAATAATATGATTTTAATGTTATTATTAACAAAACAACAAAACACTTTATTTGAGACAAACAAAGCACACAGTCTGACAGATAAATGCTAGAATATGAAATGAGGTAACGAATATTATTATATGAATTATACATGATATTTTCTAGACCTCTGAAAAATTTAAATGAAATATAGTTTTTAAACTAACTACTCACGTGTGAACACACAAACTAGACATCTTCGAAATTATTTCATAATAAAACTTTTGAGTAAATTGCCCAAACACTGAACACGACAACCGTATGTATAAAGCGTACAGTGTCTACAAAATAATAATAATAATTGGCACCTCAAAGTTAAAAGTTCAATTTTCAATAAACAACAATTTATTGTACACAGTTCTAAAAATGATATTGTTTCCAATCTCAATATACAATAAAATACTGAATAACTTACTGTACAGGATAAAATAGCGTTGGTATAGTCATTCAGCTTTTGATTTCTTTAACATCATTTCAAACGTGGCTGTACTGTGGATGGACAGTGATCACCAAAGTACAGAGGAAAAAACTGGTTCACAATGCATACAAACATATAATTGTTTTTGTTTTATTTTTAATGAGCAGCTAATGCACATTTAATCTAGTAGTTTATTTGGAATCATTCATAAATACTTGTATTCTGATTTTTACGTATTACTTAATAAACTTACCCATTTGTTCATAAATAATCGAATTTCATTCCCAAGAAATAATTCAGCACGTTTTCTCTTTTTCCCAGCTGCTAGAACAGCTTCCAACTCACATTCATCCATTTGTGAATGGAGTCATGTTTGAGTTGCTTATGTTATCTTAATCTTTTTAATTATTATTATTATTCTCTAAATTGTTTTATAATACTTTGTAATGGTACTTCGTTTACCAAACATGTAGCTTCGATCAGTGTAATTTTCTTAGATATCAGTTCGTCAATTCTTGTTCATACTCCTGCACTGATATCATGAGCTAGGACACCCGTAATCAAATGTTAAACCAGAGACTGTCTGTTATAAGACCTCCTTTGTCTACACCAGCTAATTTTGCATTATCTCTTATTTTGTGAGCCTTTACCTTCATAAGAGATAATACTTTCTTTGGAACTGTTATCACTCGGAGCATCCTGAGTAGAATATCCTTTTCCTGATTCGTTTTTATTGGAAGCACCAATCTCATCAAATATATCTTTAGCCCGATATATATATACACTGAGTGGTCACAAGTAAATAGACACCACCTTTTCAGAAAAAATGAAATTTTTCAGTCATATTCACATGAATTGATATATTTA